GAAGGAAATCACATTTGTGTGGCATTTTCAGGCTTTCATTAAGCAATGACATCTCATATATTTAGAATTATGTCATGACTTTAGCTCCCTGACTCTCCATGTTGGGAAAGCAAATAAAGATCTTCTACCTAGTTAAGACATGCCCAGAACAGCATTTAGAGAATAAGTAAAACTGATCCTATAACTGAGTTCAGCACACAGAAGACAACAGTAGGAAACAATTAAATCCTGTCAGTAACACAAAATAAAGATTTGTTTTTATAAAAGTTCTGAAAAGCTTGCTAGGACAAAAAGCAGTGCGTATTATAAGCATACGCATCTATGGCAATTTTATCTGAAATTTCAATGAACACCGAAGTTTTTACGAAATACAATCCTTTCTAACAGGAGTGCATGGGAGAGACAATAAAGCATGACCGAGCACTGTAAGGTGCTTGCTAGGAATGGAGTTTTATACGCATCACACGCATCCCGCACAGCGCGGCTTGGGGGGAAAGGATGTACTCAAGTGCTGATATAGCACCCGTAATTTCTAAGACTCCGACTGTCTTTGTTTTAAGATCTCAGAGATGGGAGGTAAGGTGTTTTCATTACAACTATTTATTTATTTATTAATTCTTAAGATCAAATATTTAGGGCTCACTTGGAATTTAAGGCGCGGTTTCAAACCGTTGCTGACTTTTGGATGACTGCGTCCGAACTTCTTCAGTTTTACCTGTAAGTGAATCATCACAGTTTTTCCCACTAAAGTGCCCGGAGTTGACTGATGGATTCCTACAAGCACGGTTTGTTGCTATGGGCTCTTAAAGGCCGAGTCAATGCTCGTTCACTTCAAAAAGCAAGTGAAATTTTGGGAAAGTGATTTTTCAGGCTATGGAAGATATAAAAGACCCAAAACATTGTGACTGACAACAAGTAAAACTGCGAGTTCCTCTGTACTAGCTCTGTCCAGCAAGAACTTATTTGTCTTCTTTAATAAAACTGTGTCAGCAATCCTCTTCAGATAGCTCTTGCTCTGGTAATATTTTTTGGTTTGTGATTTTTTCTGCTGAAGAACTGCAAAGAACAAAGCATGTTCAGACTCGAGTCCCTTTTAGCAGTCATCATAAAGCAGGAAAAACAACAGCTTTTACAGTACAAAACCAGGAAAACAATCCAGGTAAATTGACAACAATGACTCATAATTCCTTCTATCCTGCTCACATAGCACTACTACTGTGTCACCACACTGTTTCCAAGCCATGCCAGTGAGGACAAACAACAAGAAATAAATTAAAAGTTGGTGGGTTTTTTTGTGTTTTGTTTTTTTTTGTTTTGTTTTTTTGTTTTTTGCTAAATTGAGTTCTGTATCTTACTGAGAAATGGATCCTAATAACCATGTATTGCTCAGCACTTCCAGCCTAACGATGACAGCGTGGCCATTTGCTCAGTCTTAATGGCTTATCCAGTTTGACTGGGTTTTCTGAACCACACAGAAATTACTTCCTTTTATCCACAAATCCAATAGGACTGAAGGGGAAGTTCTGAGTTCTGGAAGAGTTTTATCTTTTATGCATGGTAATGCTGAATATTTGGATATGAAGATACAGAGTAACAGATTTCTAATCTACAAAGGATATCTATCACTGCCACATCCCATAAGGAATACTGGGCAGTTATCTTTTAAAAAAAATAATCTTAACTTGCTTACAGCTACACTAACAAACATTTCTCAACAACGCTGTTATTGCAGATGTTGCCACAGGACACAACTAAAAATTGAACACAGCAGAAAGTCTTCTTCTAAAACCAACACTTTAGTTTTTGAAAGTTTCACATCAATTTTCTTCAACTTCTCTGCAGGCTATTACATTAATTAATAGCTCGTGTCCCTCCTTCTACATGCTGCTGCTGTTTGTTGGCTGTGCACACCTTCTTTTCTGTGTGAATGTGAGAACAAACCCAGTGAAGTATGTTTAACCCTATTACTGAAAGAGGGAAAAGGAGGGATGTCAACAGCAGAAATCCCTACTTGTCAACATACTGGAAACAAAACCTTTGTGGGGAGCTATACAGAAGATCTGATGCAAAAAGGAATGACACCAGCCCCTATCCACAACTATGAAGAAACGTTTAAGTCAGCATGTCGAATGAATGCCATTTCTCAGACATCATCTTCACCTTGCTGCAGAGGCAAAGACAACCAGCAGAAAGCACAAAGCGTTTTACTGCAACATCTTCACAGCTTTTTAATCCCCAACTCACCAATAAGTCACCAATAACACGTTGTGTGTATGTATGGTCTACATAGGTCAGATCCCAGGATCAGGGACCTCTGAAACACTGAAGCTCACAGAGATGTGATCAGAAGAGTGCTAGCGTGGGGTGCCAGTACCTGGCCCTGACCCAGCATTCAGGTGAAGTCAGCAGCTCAGCGCCCTGTTTAAAGTACTGAAACTAATCATGAATTTCTGAATCTGTGCCTCAGTACTATTTGTTGGTATAGGAACTTAGAACACAGGAAAAAATACAATAGAAGTCGTAAGTGAAGACTGCTTGCTTGAGAAGTGGAAATAAATAAAACGGACCACAGAGCGCTCTCTATTTTAAAGGAAAAATGCAATTTCCTTCTGTTGCTACATTTACCAAACCACTAAGATCCTTACAGTCATGTTTTCTGAGGAATTCAAGTTGAATGAGAAGTTTAAACTGGAAGCCAAAGTGCTTTTAAAGGTGTTAATGTATTTTCTGGGTAACACCATGCATTTTAGCTCTTCCCCAGGTAATCTACAGAACTGCAGAATTCTGCAGACAGGCAGGAATGCAGAGAAAAGGTGCAGAAATGTGTTTGATACCATAAAGGTCACATGATTTCATGAAGATAAAGAAGTAAATAATTGGGTGCCCTTGCAAACTGCTCAAACAGATAACTTTTTTTTTTTTTTTTTTGCCAGAATGATATTTTCTATGTATTGCATTATGAGTCAAAATATTTCTCCATAAAATACAGTGGCAGGCTCTTCTCTGAAATGTTATCTTGATGTCTTTTGGTTTCGCTTGATGATATTCTTTGATGGCTCAAATTGCTCTAATTTTTTAGCATTTATGTCTGTTTTACAACTGAAGATGTGATATCCTCTAGTGCATTAGGCAAATGTCTTTTGCTAGAGATTTAAATGCCTTGGGAAAAAAAAGACAACACTTCAAATTAAGTTTGAAGTATTCTACTCAAATTTTGTGACTGAGAAAAATAACTAGATACTATCAATCTATTTTCTCATCTTATTTAGAATGAGATTGATTTTTCCTGTAGCAGTATGTGCGTGCTGAAAATTAAAGATGCATTCAAGATCTGACGATGATGTATTTTATACAGTACAAAGACAGCCTTCTCTTCTCCCACCCGCAAGTATATGGTATAGAAGTAGCCAACTGCAAACAGAGGAGTAAATAAACTAACTTGACATCCCAGGGAGAAGGAATGTGTTCCCAGCAACTATTTCAGAGCCCACAGAACTTGGTGTAGTACAATAAAGGTTCCAAGTACCGCCCAGCCTGTTGTAGTAGAGTTCTAGACAGGCTGCTGTCAGTGGAGGACTGATTCACCCTTCGTGGAGCTTGAAAATCAGTCCATCACAGCAAACCAACCAACAAACAAATGAGCAGATTTCTTTCCTTCCTTTCATTCTATGACATAGGCAGATAAAACTTTATTCACTGCTTTTAACTCACTGCTTTTCCTTAAAAAGGGCTGCTAATATAGAATTTAAACAATACTCCTCAGGTCTTCCTGTTATCTTGGTACGAGCAGCACACAGTCTGACTGATAAAGGTGTCCCAGCCTGGGAGAGTGGGACCACAGGTACTGGGGTTGTTATGGCAGACAGGCACAGACACGGCTCCCAGTACAGCAGCAACTGAACCCACATCTGCTGGCACTGAAGGCAGAAATCATCCTTTGAGCCTCTGTCCATGGTGGCCAGAGCCCATGGGGCAGAATTCCCTTTATTATCCCAGAAACATTCGAAAGAGCTTTGGTGCACTGCACAGTGCCATCGCTACGGCCTCAGAGCTGCTGGTACACAGCAGCCACAGACACTGCCGGCCCTGGTGCTGTAGGTGCCAGGTCTGTGCGAGGCACACACCTCAACCCCTCCTGCTGTCTCATACCACTTAAGGGCAGTGCTGGCAGCAGTCTGAGCAGCCTTCCCCACGGCATTTAGCACAGGCCATTTGGCTCTGGAGCAGCACCAGCATCACCCTGATGGAAGGGTCTGACCCGAGGAGCGCTCCCGTCCCCCTGCCCCAGCTCCCATCCCTTCTGCCTCAGGACTGGGCGCTCCCTGGCATTAACACTTTCAGCTTTGCAGCATTAACTTTCAGAAAAGCCTTTATCCGTTCCTCTGCTCAAACTGTATTGCAGAAGAGGTCTCTATGTGAACAAGTACCTGTTAACAATGAGCAAGTTACCTGCTCGGTGCAGAGCTCTGGTAACGCAGGGTTTCACATGACAACAGTGCTATAAATCTCATGCTTTTTCTCTGACAGAGGCGGATTTCACTGTCAAATCTTTTTTTTTTTTTTTTTTCCTTTCCTTTTCTGTTTGCAGCTTTAGCAGTCATCGTGTAAAGTTTGCGGCAGCCCCGAGCTCAGCGTGCCGGTATTCCAGCCCTCGGAGCAGTGTCCTCCACAGAAGCCGACGCCAACAGCGAGCGACCCAACCGAGCCCCCGCCATCCTCCCTCCCGCACGCGGACCCATTTCAGCAGCTGTTTATCCGCGTCCGCTGTCAGACATCGCTCCAAGCGAACCCGTCCCCTCGCGGCCCCGGCCCCGCGTCCCCCGGGCCGCCGCGTAGCGCTCCGACCGCCGGCGCGGATCCGCGGTGCCGCCCGTTGCGGTGCCCCCAGCGGTGCCGCTCCGCTCCCCGCGCTGCGGCCGCTCCAGCCCGCTCCCCCAGCACTGCAGCACTAAGAAACCCCCCTCCCACCCGCCCCGGCACCCCGCATAGCCCCAACTCACAGGATCTCCAAGTCGCGCAGGGCGCGGAAAGCTCCATCCTCGATGCAGCTGATCTGGTTGTTGTCCAGCTGCCTGCGGAGAGGAAGGGAGAGGGTGAGGGAGGGCAGAGCCGCCCGGAGCGGGGCCGGGTGTCCCCGAGGCGGTGCGGGGCTCTGTGGCTGTGCCAGCGCTGCACGCTGCGCCGGAGCCTGGCAGGTCTCAGTAAATATTAATTGCGCCTTTTTTTTTTTTTTTTTTTTTTTTTTTTTTTAAAGGCAGAAGGGAGTAATTTCATTACATTAGGGCATCCAATCCATTATGAGCTTTTACCGTCATGTCAGTGAAACAATTTCATTAAGCTAAAGGCCTGTAAATCATTGGAGGTCACCGGGCTGCCCTCCGTGACCTCCCACAATGCCTTTTCTTCTTTTACTGGAAGTTGGAGTCCTCTGTCCTGACAGTACTAAATCTCTCAGCTTTATCTACCCGAGAGCTGTGAGAGCGAACAGGGAATACACCAGTTCCAAATTAGACTCAACTAATCTAATTTTATAGTCTTTTTATTATTCTAAGCACCAAATGTCTGTGGTGGTTCGATGCCTCCGCGCATTGTTACCGGTCCCATCTGGTAGCCCATTCTATTGAAAGATGTCTGAGCGAATGCAAAGCCTGCCTAACTGCATCAGGGAGCGCGGCCACGACACGGAGCATCCGCACACGGACACTCACAGCACCACGCTGCTTCCTAATGTCTCATTTAATATCTGAAGTGTGGGCTTCTCCCATTTGTTTCCCTGCACGTGCACATGCATTACAATAGGTGGGGATGCAGCGGTACAGGTACATCTGCCTCTCTTCTTAGAAAATTACAGTTGTAAGTGGTAATCTAAAATTTAGCGCTTGCATTTTCAGACATCTGATCTCTTGAATGTTACACCTACAGAAATACACCTGTGTACCTACTCACGTGGAGGCACAATGCCTGCATCTCAGACAAAAACCGGAGCAAACTCCTGGCTCTGTTTGCTCCACTGACACCGAGTGACACAGGTACGTGTTTGTGTCTGAAGACCAAAGGGAAGTTGCCCTTGGTCTGGTCCCAATGAACGTTGGGATTTTTATTATATAAGTGCATGAAGTATCATACAGGGTCTGCTCAAAAGCACAGCAAGCATAAAGGCAGCTAAGGTTTCTCATCGCTCTCCTATCTTTGGAGAACATGCTGAATTTGGCAAAACTTCCAGCAATACCTCCTATACCGACATCCACCAGGACGTAAAATCATCCAGAAGGGATTCTGTAGCATGACAGTTCATGCATATTTTAAATATATATTTATGTAACTATATACATACTTATTTATTTGTGTTCTTTCTGCCTCTCCCACCACCCCACCAAGGTGACAACAGCTATGTGCATCCGACTGCTGAGACAACCAAGTGGCTGCTGAGTGACTTCTTCCGAGATCGCTGTTTAATTGAGTGGGTCGTTAGCTTTTTTTTTTTGCTCAGATGGAAAGAATGGTGGATTTCAGGAGGAATAAACTTAGGATGAGTTAAATATAACTCTGGTTGCATGACTAAGTACTTTACACTTCAGTTGGCTTTATTAAGCATACTTTATTAAGCATAAAGCTGGCACATACTAGCAAGATGAAGAGAAAGCAGGAGCAATTTGAGAACCACCTCTCTCTTTCTTTCTACAGGAAGTATTATATATTGCCTATTTTTATTTGAGTTACACTATAATATTGATTTTTCTGCCAGATACACTAAAACAAGCAAATAAACCCAGCATGCTACTCACAGGGCCTTCTATTAAAAAGCTTCATACACTGTGCATAGCTTTCCTAAAAAATGCTCCTCTTATAGATTGATTTTTGTTGGAAAAGCACAATAACCTTAATCATGTTTCTATAGGTCCAGTCACGCTAATGCTAACAATGAAGTTCAGCCTATGTAAATAATCCACAGGACTACTGTAAGGGAAACCTCTAGATACAGCAGAATACCCAGTAGATTAGGAAAATACTCATTAGAGATGTCACGTGGCACTCAGTACAGCCTGGTTCTTCGACTCCATAAACTAAATGTATGTCTCTGGGAGGCACCCACATGTATAATGCTCCCTGTGAGCAGCAGGGCTCCTGACTCCTGGCACCCACTACAACCAAGCACTCGGTTCTGTGCTTAACTTTAAGCATGAGAATTTCTTCCCAGAAGGAAAGGAACTATTAGTTATCTTGAAATTAAGTATGACTGTGTTTAAGGCCCTTTACCTCCTAATGCATTTCTCTGTTCGTAAAAGTAGAAAATCAGGTTTTTTTGCATGCACACAGCAGACCGGTGAGAGACTGAACAGAGATTGCAGATTTTAGAGTTCAGAGTCTGAACAATGGCTTCCTACCAAGACAGCACGTTAGTTCAAAGTTTGGGATAAACCTCACACACAGCCCTACAGAAAGCCAAAGCTGGGTGTTCAGCATATCTGTGTATATCCACAAAGGCAGAATAAAATGCACGTGACATGGGCCAGCAGCCAGACTGCATACTCAAGCTGGGTTTGCTGTGCTCTTCAATGCCCAGAGCAGAGCGTTCAACATCCACTGAGAAGAACCAATGATATGTAGAGAATGTAGAAATTCAACTTCAGAAAAATGTAAAATTCAGCATTCGAGAGCAGCTGGACATGCACTTCCTTGAGGAATGTGCAACACTGCAACACCACTCCTGTTTCCTCATCGCTGCCTTCTACATGGGCACTCAGCCCTCCCAAGCACCATATTACAGAGACTGGGTCAGCTGCACTGGTCTCATAGACATTGAAAAAATGGTCTCAGCCAGCAGAAGCATTTATTCAGATTTAAACGTTACTTCCATTTGTCAGAGCTCTTATTCTCTATAGAATAATTTTGTCTCTTCAGTATTTGTCATGTATGCAGTGCTGTAATGCAGTGGCCAAAAAGAGAAGCCAGATGAAACTAGCTCGGATTTTAGTCACCATTTTTCATTGGACAAGGTTAAGTTTTCTGTCTTTGCTCACTTCCTGCCTTTTGCAGGAATGCAGCTCTCATCTCAGGCTTTATCTATAACTACCAAGTCATTCAACTACCTCTGACAGAAACACATGTTCTCACGCTGAAAAAGTGTTACAAGAGTGTGTGCAATGAATGAAGCCACAAAGCCGGAGCTGTGAGAGACAGCCAGACAGGATGGCTGGCACGTTGTTAGAGCTGCAAGGCAGGGGATGAACAAGAAAACATGGCCAAACTTTGTGCTTCCAAGTTTTTGCTGTGTTAGATGGATCTCTAACTTCTCTCTGGTGAAAGCACATGTTTGGGTGCCAGTGCTGAACCTCTCTCACACGAGGCACGAAGCCCAGTGCTGGGATCCTGGCAGGCCAGCACTGCTCCCCAGCCTGAGCCCAGCAGGGCAAGTGGGCAGCAGACAGTGCAACACTACAAAGAACAACGCCAGGAAACCCCAGAGAGTGGAGCAAACGCATGAGGAAGGAAGACATTTAGAGGGCACGTGGGGTTTACGTGACACGTGACACAAACGCTTGCAAATAATGCTGGAATGTATAAAATGGTCTGGAGAAAAAGGCTCCTTTCATCTGGTAGAGATACAATAATAATGCCATGTGTATCCAGCTTCATGACTACAAAGCTTATCTCTGTATCTATTAAAAAATTATGATAACCACAAGACTAAATTACATGCAGTAAATCATTATCTATCCTTAAAATTCATATTATAGAGAAAGAAAAAAAAAAAAGGTTTAAAGTGAAAAAATGAGACATCACCTCTCCATGAAACGAAAAGTAATGCTGCACCCCAACAGATTTCTTTCACAAGATGCTCCGTGGTTTCGGCAAGACACAGCTCTAACTGCTAAAACACCGTTCCCCTGTGTAACACTCTGGCTTAGCCATTTAGATTTGAATGTTTCTGTCGTACTGAAGAGTTACATTTCAAATAACATTTGGAAGGAAAAGGGTTTTACAGTGCTGATATTATCTTTGCCAATTGAAGCAATCCTTTAAATAGGAAGATTTAGAATTTTTGTTCCCAATAATAAGAGCATTTAGTTTTCAAATGCCTTTGAGAGAGAAAAATCAACAACAAAGATACAGTAATTTTTATCATGGTACTGAATTTAAAAAAACAAACAAGCCAAACTGCTGTAAAATATTGAAGATTTGAATTAATGCAGTAAAAACATCCCAAACTGAAATTATCTCATCTTTTACTAACATTGAAAGTTAGTTAATGCTTAAAAATCATACAATCATAGCATCACCGAGGCTGGAAAAGACCTGTAAGATCATCCAGTCCAACCACCTGCCTATCACCAACATCTCCCACTAGAAGTCCACATAGATGTGTACCTAGCAGCTGCTACTCACGTAACACCAGGTAACCTAACATGGTGCTTTTTCAGCAGTTTGCCATACTCTGCTACCTGGAGACATCCTTCAAGTACCGAACACTAAACATCCCAACGGTGAGAGGTGAGATCAGTGTTCTGTACTTGGTTTCAGCTTGGGTTTCTTTTTGTTGGCTGGTTGGTTGTTTTCTTTCTGATGCATTGCAGAGATCAAGCGCTCATCTTGTTTTTAATTACATCGTGAGAGTAATTTAATTAATATAACTTCTTTGTATGTTTTCTCCAGAATCTAGTTAACTTGAAAATAAAAGCCCACATTAACCAGCAGTGTGATGAATACCTTTCAGCTGCTTTTGTTTATCATATTTTAGATGTTTACCATACAAAGAAGTGCTATAGACTACTCGTGTATTTCAGAAAGTTCTACCGTCACAGACGGGAGGTTACGACTGTTCTCCATACCTGCTGTTCTAGATCTGAGCTTCAGCATTTCCCAGTTAGTAAAATACTATATTGCACATTTATCCAGAAGTATCCATGTTAAACATACCACCCTGCAAACATATTTAAAACGGATGACTTTTCAATAGCCATTTCAGCAGAATGCAAATCCACTGCAACATACAGAATTGTAGTTGGAAAAGAATTGGATTTTGTTAATTAAGTCTCCAATAGGCCTCAGTTTGGACAACATTTTCCCCCCAGTTTTTCCATTTCTTTTCTAATAAAAGCTGCCCAATCTATGCAAACACTGTAAAAGTTGTACCCTAGCTATATATAGTTATACTACCTCATTGGGAGTATTCAATAAACAGAATTAGAAGGGTGCTCTATGACATTTACTGCCCAATACCCAAGGTATTCCTTACATGAATACCTGAGAATGCCAAAAATTGAAACAAGTGACCTGATACATGTAGGTAAAATTTCTCCCATACCAAACTAAAGGACTACTCCTTCAGCTGATAATGAAGCACTACAAATGGTAACAGATGCTACTCTGAACTAATATTGAATTTGAATTAAATTGGCATAAAGTTATTTGAAAGCCACTTCTAGTGCATTTTTCATTTATAATTTGTACCCTTCACTGAAGCATTACTAGAATAATTTTATAAAAGCTTACTTGCATTAGAAAAATAAAAGAATTGCTACATTAAGTTCAATGTTAACATAATTCTCAAGTGGAGTAAATTGGTGGTGCAGAACACAGAGGACAGAGCTGCAGTGCTCTGGTTGTGCCAGCAGCTCCGGCTGAAGCACTGCATGGAAACAAGCCATGAGCATGGCAGCATCGGGCACAGGAGTGGCTCTGGGTGTCAGCCCTGCCACACCTGTGTTGTGGGGCTGGTCAAGGAGGGAGGAACGGCTGATGGGAGGAAGAACTGCTTATGAATATTTGCTCTGCAGGCTGCGCAGAAGTATTTGCTCTACGTTAATTACATCAATTCACAATTCAAAATGTTGCTGTCCAAAACCAGTATTAGCTTAATGCAAACCAAGGTGACAAACGAACAGGTAGAGCCCTGCCTCTTCCCGCCAGGATAAGTACACACAAACCAAGCCAAGGTTTCTTTTCAGTATCGGGGGCTTTAGAACAATTTTTTTCTATTAAAAAACCCCTCCCTCTGGTTGCTGATGCAACAAATGGTGCATACCCTGCGCACAAATGGCTGTCTCCATAGCAATTGGGGCAGGTTCCGTGTTTCCCTAGTTACTCCTGACTGATAACCATCTGTTGTTCTGCTCTGCCACAGCCCCAAAGGGGAGAAGGGGAAGAAATGAGGAAGATAAAATGGGTGTTAGAGAATATGAAAGTTATTTACTGCAGTAAATAAGGTTGGCAGTTACTTACATCTTTTTTTATTCTTGCTTTTAGTTGACAAGTATGGAGTACCGCACACAAAGAAGAGCTGTAACTCCAAAATGTTACCAATCATTCACCTTACAAACAGCAAACAATACAGGGAATTGTATTAGGAACATTAAAAGGAAACCACCTCATTAGAACGTTATTATTAAACTGTGGAAAATCTGGAACTAAAGCGCTTAATGGAGAAAAAAATACCTAGAGAAATTTAATTTCAATAATTAGTAGAAATTTATAATGTAAGAGCGTGGGGCAGAAGAGGTGAGGAGGTCAGCACCCCATGACTGCTGTGGCTGGGTCCCTCTGCATCTGCCTCAGCCTGCAGCATGGCCAGGAGCTCCCTCACCTCCTGGGCCGTCACTGCTGAACCATGGGCCCCTCCTCCATCCGTGTGCCAAGGGGGATGCAGGCCGCCCACATCCTTCCCGAGGACGGCAGCACCCTGGGGCAGGCCTGACCACCCTGAGGCATGCTGAGACAGGGATTATACATGGGATCAGTGTTTGCATAGGCCCACCAACATCATGGCACGGCTATGGTTCTAGTGGTGCATTATTCTGCTCGTTTTGCAGGAGCACAAACAAGCTTCCACAGGCTGCTGTTACAGCACATAAATACAGCAGCACGCTACTGGTGTTGGGTTTTATTTTCTTTGAAACAGGCTCTATGCATGTTCCATATAGCAACAAATCCACTACAGAACCAAAACTTTTAAAAATGAAAGACATGGGATGCTTCAATCCTCAATATAATAGCAGTTGTCAGACGGACAAAGCTGTCTGGAGCTGTTTCTCCAGCAGGCCAGAGAACTGCAGGAATTCTGGAGAGCAGAGCCGCAAGGAAGGCTCTGGCTCCATGGGCTCTTTCCCATGGCACAGGGATGCTCTGGGCACAGGGATGCACTGAGAGCCCCCGGCTGCACACCTGGCTCCGTCCCACTGGAGCGCAGGGAGGGGTGTCCATGTAAGTGGGATGCAGCAAAGCGAGCTGTTATACAAGGATCTTTCTGAAAATCATGTCGAATCTGCCGTTTGCTTGTTTACACATCCAAGTTATTAATAATTTACTAAATGCAGTTTTGAGAGGAAAACTAGGGCTCTCGTGCCTTTAAGAGGCTTAGATGTTTTTAGCAAACATGAAAATTACATGATGAGATAGCGGCTGTGGCAGAGAGCAAATGCAATAGACCTTAGCAATTAGGAGAAGGTAAACTCACTCAAGGCCCAGACACCAGAAGCACCTCTTATACGTGGTTAGGAAAATGACAGAGCACAAAGGAATCTTGACATTTGATCTCCAGACATCTGTCCCCTCTAATAACACATATTACATTAGATTAATTCTATCACCTGCAGTCAAACAACAACCTGAGATGTCTTCTAGATCTTCAGACAAAAATCAGACATAAATAATGTCAGAACAGGGAGATGTGAGTAAAGACACAACAGTGTCAACCTTGTTCCATGGTTGGAAAATTTGGGCAAAACAGCAGAAATTCTTGTGATTTCATAGCTCAATTTTAAATGGGAAATGAGTATAAATACCTAGAGGATAAATATCCAAACAGGGAGCATCTTGCATTTATGAACTGTGGAATCTCAGCGTAACAAACCAACAAATTTGTCAATCAGATCCTTTATAACAAATCCTCTGCGCTACTGCTATTACAGAATATTTTGGTAAGAGATGCTGGTTGATCACAGCGCCTTCAAAGACAAAAAATAGCCAGCTGATTCGAGAGAGGGAAGAACAAATGTGAGCATCTCAGTGCCCCATCTTGAGTTTTGGGTGTTTTGTTATTTACTGATTTATTTTGTCATGATTGCACTCAGTTTCTCAGCATGCAAGAGTGCTAGAATAATAACTAACCCCACAGCCACTTGATCACAGTTTAGCAACACCACATATTTCAAGATGCTGCATCAGTTTTAAATGACTCAGATAGGGCCTTCCACTCCTGATCCTGCATTGCGCAGGCTCCCAAGCTTCCTATGGGGCTACAAAAGGCAGGCCATTTCATCTTTGTGTGGGTTTTGATTTTGGGATAAGTGGCACTTCAGGTGATGAGGGTATGGGGGTGCTCCGCTTCCATTTTTGTTTGTTTTTAAGCTTTTTATGCCTCCATCAAACACGGTCTTTGCTCACACTGATCAGTCAACAGCAACTCTGTCTTTGAGGCATGAAAATTATTCTAGGAAATTCTGTTGTAGGCCACTAAAAATAGTCAAAGAGAAGTAAGAGGTTTTGATTACATTAAGACAGGGAGCCACCTGGCTTAGCTGCAGCCTTCTTTTGCTCGCTGCCCACTTGTCTGGGCTTTAGCAAAGTCAGAGGTTTGGGATTTTACTTGCAAGTGCTCCTAAATGGCTGAGGTCCAAAGGGAGCTCCAAATTCTGACTCCTCACTCTGATTACACCTTACTCTGTGCTTCTCAGGCCTGCTGAAACAGAGGAAGAAGACCCATGTGCATATGCAACTCTGCTCTTAGGTCTGTTGCTTTCTTACTGGTATAAAACAAAACCAGCAACGGGTACAATAAAAATATTTGAGATTTGTTGTGTAGCAGTTGCTTCACTGCACACACAACTTCCTGATACGCTGGCTTTAATTGTCTTCCTTCCTAACTATCAGTTCTTAGTGCTGTACTTTACAAGTCAGACCTGTAGTTAACTTGCAATCAATACCAAATAAGCATATGGACAAGTTTAGGTGAGATGGTGCTAAAGGTAGGAAACACATTAGAATTTATCCTGAAGCTTCTGAGCTTTTAAGGCATTTACATCAACTTCATGCTCACTACTCGAGGCAATGAGTGCTCAGTGAAATTCCCACTGGAATTCATATTCAGGTCTGTTACCCTGGGGATGCTGATAAAGGTGCAAGCAAGCACTGAACCTGCTCCCTTGCTGTTGTTAGAAAGTGAGCATTGCCTGCAAACAACAATACAAAGAAGCCAGCACTCCGTCTCCAAAAAGCAGTGACTGAGGAAGAGGCTTCAGGACCTGGAGAGGCTGTGCTCCTCCTTAGCCACAAGATAGCAATGGAGTGCAAGAGGCCCTTTTGTCACACAGACCCCAAAACATTAAGAAATTGTTTCTGTGAAGGGGGTAAGCTATGAGCAATTTAAGGATGAAGAACATTTGACTGGAGGCTGCTCTGGGCCATAACACTATACACATTCAGCTGTAACTGCTGGACTCTGCTCTCCAAACTCAAAAGCTCTTATTTCAGATATGTGTGTTGCCATGACCTGCCTGCTTCACAGTGAGGTCCACAGTGGAGGAAACCTCATTTCTGTCTGCATCCAGAGCCTGACCAGGCCCACCCAACTCATTATCAGCAGTAGAGTCCACTCACAGAAATGCAATATTCATTGGGCAGTGACATAGGAATCTAAAGATCTATCCATCTTTTCCCAGTGCTGACCCAGGCTGAGAAAAATCATCTCATGACACATGTAAAGAAGGTGTCACACAAACTCTGCCTTGGTGAGGCGTTACTCCACTGCTACCCACTGCTCGGCCCAAATCCACCAAATCTGGAAGTTTGTGCAACACCACCCCAGCAGCACAACAAAAAAAGCCTGGTTAACAGGGCATGTACAGAACAATAAAAGGTAAGAAAAGCAACCAGTTTCTAGACAGAAAGAAAGAATGTTAAAGAAAAGCCAATCAAAAGGAAACCTGGAAAAGAAGTTAAGAAAGGAAAGCAAATAAATGACCTGATATATTAAATGGGACCCCAAAATAATGTTGCTTTTACTCATCTTGGGACCCAGCAATCACATTAATTTTGAAATACTTAGCAAAGTGCTATGGAAATACACCGCAAACTGTATCGTAGTTGACACAAAAAGCCATTTTGTTTTATCGTTTCCAAGCCAGCCAAATTTATGTCATCTGAGAAATGTGTATCGCCCAGGGTAAGGACAACAATCCATCCTGCAGATTGATGTTTACAAGCGCTTTGGAATAAATGTTCCTATTTGAACATCCATACAAACCATAAGCATCCAATATGTTTGGAGCGCTAGGTTCAGTTTTTGTTAGCAGATCTTTAACTAGCACAACAATGTTTGACCAAAGCAGCGTGGCACTACTATACATCCTGCAGGAGCAGGGCACGGAGCATATGTGACAAGCCTTCCATATATTCACTAGGGAGTGTTTCTTTCCTCCTACAAGAAACCATAGGACTATTTATTTAATTCACTAAAGCAAATGGTATTCATCTATTTTTGGCATTTATGTGATCGCTGTAGTACTGGAGTGCCTTGCTCTTTAATACATTTATTCATTCTCCCTGCAGACGCACAGCTGTCAGCAGCACAATGAGGTTTTATAAAATTTCAGGAACTGAGTGCACCGCTTCCAGTTCCACTTACCTACATTACTTCTAAATTAAAATGTGCTTCCCCAGCCTCAGGACACGTAAAATACCAACCCAAAGGAGAGAACAGGGTAAGTTTCTATCAGAAGTGCTGAATGTCACTTATTGCAATGGATAATTATTGATAATGTTACTATTGCTGCATACCAAACTGATAAATATATAGGTAAAACATGTCTAACAGCACTGACCTTTTACTGAATTGCAGTGCCTGAAAGTAAAAATATCCTCAAAAATACCCTGGTATCTGATATCATCCTGCACACTTGGTTCTTGGATGGTATGGAAAAGTAGCCAGGTAAAGAAGCCTTGCTCCTAGATTTCCTGCTGGATCCCTTTAGCCAGGAGAAATGAACTGCTGGGCAAGGAACAGCTTAACCCTGGATCTGAAACTTCACAGTTTAGAAATGTGGTACGAAGGGACACCCGCAGTCTGCAATACAACACATGCTGCCACAACAGGACAACAGGTCACCTCCATAGGGCTTCATTCCACCTTGCAGGAGGCTCTGCTAAGTTGACTTTAAAGTCAGCATTTGACTATGAATGCACGAGCAGAAATGTGAAAGTTATTCAAATCAAAGCCAGTAAAATCAGCATCATTAAATAACCATCCCTCATTCGAATTTTAAAAGGTGATGGTTTATCATTAGAAATATAGTCAGCACATCAAGCTAATTTTTACAGCTTATATAGAAATTTCCCTAGAAGTTACAGATTTCAGCATTTTTGTCTGAACATATGCTAGTCGTTGTATGTTTCTTTTCAAGAAAAGTATTTCATTTTAAAAAGTAATCACATCAACCTCCGGGTCACATTAGACACTGTGATTTCTTAAAAACAAATGGCCGCATGTCTAAGCTGTTCACTCACATTTACTTGGTAGCCTCTGAATAATGATTCTACAAAGCCAGCAAAACTAAAGTCATTAACAGAGACCTAAAAGTAAGCTTGATCCATTCAAACTTTGAAACTTTTGTGCTGAGTGGCATGGTTTGTTTGTGTTGTCGTTTTTTTTCCTCCTGATTGTAATCCATAAATCTGTTCATAGCAGACAGCTGCTTCCTCTGCCAGGACTGCAGCAACAAGAAGAAGGTCTTGTGCAAGACAGCTTTCACTCTGAAGTAAGATCAGACAGCAGTTTGGGAAGAAATGAGCCTACCATTGCCTTAACTGACCCCTTAAACAAATCCCAAACATCTAATTCACTTTGAAATGTGAAAGCACTTACACAAAACAGAGCTTTCTCCCTCGCAATCAAAGCAACACATCTTCTATAAGTAGGTAAAGAGGGTACCTGCACAACCCTGGCTCCACTGCACCTCTCCCATCCTTCTCAGTCACTCCTGAGTGCTGCACACCCACTTGTGACAGCCTGCTGCGTGCCCTCAGTAACCCCAAGTGACGCCCAGCAGCTGCTGCACGAGGACTGCGAGAGTCACGGCTCCCAGCAGCCAGCAGCACAAAGCTGAGAGCTAAAAGCAAGCAGCACCCCCTCCAACATACCCCAACACCAAAACTGCTCGGCCAACTGCGAGCCCCGGATTTCAGGGAGCCAACCAAAGCAACCCACATAACCTCCTTGCAGCAGCCACCTTCCAGCTGAGCCTGGCTTTAAAGGCAGGACGGATCACAGCTGATCTGCACAGGAGCTGAGCTGAGGTATATAAATAAAATGCAAAGGAAAGCAAGGGTAAAACGTATGTGGGGGGCTACCAAGGTGCCACAAAAAGTAGAGAGAACTCAACCTCTTTCTAATACTGCCTCTCATGGCTGAAGGATCCTTTTCCTACCACACATCACATGAAACTGTTTTTAATATGCACAAAAAATGGCAAGGTTGGCTGCACTGAGAAGTGGGTTGGGTTTGGGAATGCTGAAGGAATGCTGCAGGACTGAGCACAAACCCTCTGCATGCACAGCCCTCGTGCACCACACCAGAGCTCTATGGGAGCACGTTAAGTTATCTGCTTAAATGAGAGTTAATTTATGACTTCTTTTTCTAGGGAAAAGAATCATTTTGTATTCTGGTCTGATTGTACTGTGGCTGCCTTATAAGCACCTTTTGACAGACAGGATATTGAGATGGAATTACACAGTGAAATAATCCTGAACACTGCTGAACGTCTCATGTTCCTTCCAAAGGAGGATTGAGATCCTCACTTCCTCTGGTAAAACAAAAGGAAGGAAGAACTCCAGGTGTGAAACCAATGAACGAGAGCTGTGTGCACATTACCTCAGAGTTACTGCTTACTGTTGGAAACCAGTTGAAAAAATAACTCCAAACAGTCCAGAGAACTGGAGTGGAATTTACTTCCATATGAAGACAGAATTCTCTCATTTGTTCCTCTGACATTTATGGAACTAGCAAAGGGTAAACAAAAGCAAAATCAGATCCCGCAGGCTTTTGTTAGGAAAAAATAGTAGAGGAGAATGGCATTCTGTGGCAAAAATCAGCTGTGCAAATGGGACCATCATCTCAGGGCCTTCCCAGGGCTTCTAGCCTACTTTTTTCCCTCTGACCTTAAATAAAATAATTGTTATTGTTACCTCAGAGGTATTTCATTAAGGCTAATATCAGATTTAAACCCAGACAATCAACATTACATTACTTCTATTAACCTCCAAACAAGTATTTGAGTGCCCGAGGATTCCTTCTATGCTTCATTCAGAGCTAGATCCTTATTTTACATTGGACATATTGAAAACACTGCAGATCCCAAGCACAAATGCTTTTTTTAAAATTAAATAAAAGAGGAATCCTCCACTGGATCTCCACAATATCCATGCGTGAACAACCTGATCTTGTGTAGGGGTCCCTGTTCACTGCAGGGCATTGGACTAGATGACCTTTACAGGACTATTCCAACTCAAATGATTCTATGATTCAATGTGATTGATTACACACAACCATGTAACAACACTTGCTGTATAAACATGGTAAACATATGTTCACCCGCCCCCCCCCAAAAAAAAAAAAAATTAAAAGCCTGCAAAATAAAATGATGCCGTTACAGTTGAAGTTTTGTCTTCCTCCAAAAACATTTTCCTTTCAAGGCACAACAATCTCAGACTGCACTGAATTGCAGATGGCTTTGTTTTCCTAGGGCCCCTTTATCTCATGGATCCACCCAAGTGCACTACGTGAATGGTGAAGCCCCAGACTAAATGAGAAGCATAAGCATTCCCTTCTGTGCTTCCCATGTGGCAAGAAATTGCACAGGCACTGCTGTTGTTTGCAGCCCTGGCCTGCTTGCACACAGGGGCTGCAGTGGGGGAAGCTGTGACAGCAGCACAGCAGCAGCCATGCTGGGGCAGGAGGAGCATCCATCTCATTCCATGGCCAAGGAGGAGTGGGGCCTCTACTTCCCAGATCAATTACTGGAATTAATTTTGGAACCTAAGTCAAAGCCTCCTGGGGAAAACAAGAATTCATCGACTAGTTTGCACCAGGTTTTCATCACTGAAATTTACACAATTTAAAATAACATCTAAATATTATCCACAAAAGTGATGTGGGAGCTTTAAGAATTAAGGGAGTTTTATTCACCCTGAAAGGTACAATAAATCCGTGAGTACTTTTGCCTGTTTACAAGATGAAAAATCAAAACTTAATCCCAACAAAATGGTACAACAGAGCAGGGACACCTGCAGCATCCCCAAACCACTGCCTCTCCCACTGACTGCAAGCAGCAGCCTGGTGCTCCTTGTCCTGCACAGGAGGGCTCCTGCAGCAGCAGCCCTGCCCTCCCTGCACCAAAACTTGTGCTTGGTGGAGAGGGAAAGAAGACCCAGATTATGGCTTCACCCTCCATCTGACTGGAAGGGTCAAAAGGAGAATGCAAACTTTATTCTGGTGGTGGATGGTATTCAGAGCCCCCATTTATTCTCGGGTGCTGCCCTGCAATGCTGTTGCTGTGCTGCTTTGGCTTAGAGACGACACGCGCTGACCCCGGTGTGCCCAGCACTGCACCAGAATAATTCAACACAAAAGGTTTGCATTAAATGTAATGAAGCAGATGACAAAATCAATAAACCTGGAGTGGTGTGGCTATCATAAAAATGATGTAAATTCAGAGTTCACAGTGGTTATGAAGCTATTTAGGATTATAATTAAAACCAGTGCTTTTTTTTTTTTTTTTTTTCAGAATAAAAGCTCCTTTGACAATCATAGATGAATGCTACAGGAAATTTTCAACAAATGCATTCAGAATTAAGAAATGGCACAAAGACAGCATAAATTACCCAAAGATAAACTGTAGGCGTAGGTTAGCCTAAAAAAGTACAAAATAAAGAAAATTTGATTTTCAGCCTTTTTCAACTGATGTCACATCCCATTTTAATCAAGTTTTATATCAAAAGGACAGTAAGAATACCACATAGCCCGCTTTTAAATCGTGGTATTTTCTGGAGTTGATTTCTGTCAAAGAGACTTCTATAAGAGCATTAAAACAAAAAAGGGTCAGATCTGCTATCCATTATTCTCCATCAGAAAGCAGCACTGCAGCATGGGTGCTGCGTCAAAAATTTATCTATGCTTTATTAGGATAAAGAACAACAAGCCCAGAAAACAGCGCGCAGAGCTCAGCAAAGTGTGCAAGTATTCCCTGCAAGCATCCACAGCCACATCGGTTCTGGTGGCTGACCCCAGCCCTGATCACAGACCTCATTCCGGCTCAGAGCTGAGCCTGAGCTCCTCACCCAGCAGCAAGGAGGCTGATCCCACTGCTGGGCTGTGGGCACAGCTTTGCTGGTGGCTGCCACATGGAGCCCCGCTGCTGCTGAGCCACCTGCAGCACTGCGAGACCAACTGCTGCAGGAGAAGGCAATGCAGTACACAAAACACAAAGCATTGGAATGACCGGATCAGAATCTGAAGTAGATTCTGCTCTGCTTAGGTCTGTATGGTACACTTGTCCATCTTGTGGGCAGCATTAGGATTTTACCATATGAAGAAGGAAGGGTGCAGCCTTCAGGTGATGTTTAAAATACATTTCTCGAAAATAAAAAATAAGATTGCTATTTATGCTTGTCTGAAGCTGATAAGGAATAATTAAACATCTGCGCTTTGCCTAAAATTGATGTCTGTTACAGTGAAAACGCTGCACACAAAAGTTGAGTGAATCAAAATGACATGCAGCTGTATTGGAGGTGTTCAGCTCTGATTGTCATCAAAATATTCATTTTTGAAAAATATTAAATACCATCGTGTTAAATGCCATCAATTAAATGCCATTTCCTAGGCTGTGATGTACCATAGGCTTACGTACTTCTATTTTATCGGTAGAGCACACTTAGGAGGTATTTCAGCTTTTATTTATCTGGCATTTTACTAAGGGGAAAGCAACCTTTAGAGTGAGGAAATTTGTTTCTCGGGAGTGATGCTTTGGCTTTCAGGAGTTGTTGGTGACGGATCCCTCATGGCTGCTCAGCCCACAACTACGGGCATCCACAGAACAAAGACACCTGAACTGCAATGGCACAGCAGGACGGAGCCAACAGCCACCCCACCTAATGCAGGTGTTTTCATTTAAAAAGCATCATTGGTGTGTTTTCCAATCTGTGAAATCAATCTCGAGTGAGGTACAAATGGTAGTTTAGCACATTCAACAGATTTCAGATCATTCTGTGCTGGCACATCCACCTGGTGTTTTATTTATTAGCTAGAGACATGGGAAAGGGAATTACATAACCTAAAATGTGTTTTAAAAAATGCAAGCTCGGTCTGATCGCACTACCAAACACAACATACGTTTAAATACTTCATGAAATGGATCTGGAGTTTTCCAGTGTTGATCAGGAGTGTTGCAGAGCTTGCAGCTTATTGCTCTGCAGACATTTCTGCCATTGCACCTTTGTGCTCTTGGGACCATCTCAAATTCCTCAGGAGCAGGGAAAGCACAGCATCCCCCCAGGGCAGCCCTGCTCACAGGAGTGTCCTGCAGTGTGGGACTGGTCCCTGCAGCTCAACACATGGAGAGCTGACCAAGCACTGCTGCAGAGCCTGCACAGAAATGGTCTCTCACAAGTGAAATAACTCACCAGGTCCAAGACTACTGCTGAACCAGCACCTCTTCGTACCAGCGGACAGTGCAAAAATCCCTCAAAAGTTCTCCCCAAGAGGCAATTCTGAAGAATGATGAGCCCTTATGGTGTGAAAAGAGATGCCAAGATTGTAACGGCACTTGGAAAAAAATAATACTGCTTGGCCATCACAATAATCTGGTAGAAAGCACAGCTATTTAGAAGGCACTCTTCAGAAGCAGCTTTGATGCCTCTGATGTAAATGGGACAGGGCAGGCAGCACGGCAGCTTCAGCTGTGGACTGACACAGCAATGCACTTCCACCCTCCGTCACCTCTACAAGTCAGGCTGCACAGCATTCAGTTTCTCTTCACTTTTTGCCTCCAAGTTTTACTATAATGTAGGACAAGAGAAGTTATTTAGAAAGATCAGGGTAGATAGATATTAAAGGTTACTGATTCAGAATGGAATAAGCTTGGAAGAGAGGAAAGCCCTGTGTGTCAAGCTGCCCTCAGGCAGTACAGCGAGCAGCGGTTCCCCAAGCAAAACCGTGCTAGCAGCTGGGGTCACTCCCTGCAAAGATGGGCACAGCCCTGGGGACACAAGGCCTGCCTGAGGATGGCCCTGTGCACAGGACCAAGCAGAGATAAACATCGTGAGCACAAAGCATCCTGACTCAGAATCTCTGCTTGGTTGGTTTTGTGTATCTCACCTTAAGTGCGTTCTGTGTTGTGGAGCAAACATGTGTGTGCATTTCAATCAATCATATCTTTTAAATGAGATAATTGTGAAATATATGCATTTTGCATTCATTATAAGGGGTAGAACAGATGGCAAAGGCTCAATCTAATCTATTCATAAAATTAACTTACGCTGTAGGTGATGTTTCTCCATAGAAAGTGGAAAGTTGGTAACGTGTTATTTTAATGTTATAATAATATTGCATCACAATGGAACTTCTAGGAAAGCGAAGGCGATGGCCGCAGCGATACCGCCTGAATTCATTACAGTCACTATCACAATGAATACCAATTACAGGAGATGGAAAGGAGGACATTGCTGGAATACATTGAGCACAGTTTGAATTAACAAATAAGGAGGACAAAAATTGTTTACAAATTATTCTGGTTGAGGTAATGTGATCTTTTCACCCTCTATAGAGTGCAAGGGGCCAGACTCTGACAAGTACTTCCAAATTGCTGATGGTGCTTCAATATCTCTGAACTGTTATGCCAGCTCCGAAAACACTCAGAAATACCCACTGAGATCAAAGTAACCTGAAATTTGTTCCAAAAGAGAGTTTTATCCTTCTAAAAAAATATTTATGTATAGATTTTAAAAATATCCTGTGCCTCCTTCACATCATCAGGCACATCATCAGGTACCAACGCCTGCTGCTCAACCCCTTCAACAACACCTTAGCAATCCAACATCAATAGTTGATTCTCCTCCTGCCATTCACTGCTTTGACTGAGGTTAAGCACAGACTGCAGTAGACTCACTGCAGATTTTACACCAAACGAGTGGGAAATCTTGCCAACTTTTTATCTCCCTCCTTTAATTTTGCTTTATTGCAAACAGCAACAGTAAAACTGAGACTCTACACAAATGTCTTGAAAGCAGAGCCAGGAATTTTGGAGGGCTCAGGACAATGGTTTCCTTTGGGAACCCAGTCCAAAGCAGGTTAAGCTTCTAGTGTCACATTTCATTGATATATCCTGTGTATTTACATACAGCAAATAATTCACCATCACTTTCTTTCTACTAGGGAAAGGGCTACACACATCAATCATCATTTCCTTAGGCTTATTCATTATTTTAACTAATTTGACAGTTATATTTAATTATTTCTGTCCTATAGCTGACTGGTGAATATGAGAAATATGATCTGCAGTGCGGGTTTGCAGTGGAACATTTTTGGTTTGTGT